ACCAAAACGAAAGTCTATACCTATTTCTCCTAGTTCTAGTTGTGCTTCTAGTCCCGCCACTACTTCTAGCCAAGCACTCGAGTTGTTAAACTGCACAAAGAAGTCTTGGGCTTAATTCAACGTGGATGATCTTGTATCTGATCCGGGGAAATGCCCCCCTATCGAGTCATATGATCATAATATTAGAGATGATGTTAGGATGACATATTTGGAAAAAAGTCCTTGTCAACCACATAGACATGACTTTCCAAGAAGATGGATAGGAAATGATAATATGTGTTTCCGAAAAGAATGGTTTTCTGAATTTTATTGATTGGAGTACAGTATAGAAAATGATGCAGCTTATTGTTTGCATTGTTACTTGTTCAAACCTGATAAAGGGGGTTAAGGGGGTGGACATATATTCACTAAGATTGACTTTAGGGATTGGAAGCACAAGAATATATTGAAAGACCATGTCGGGCTCATTGATAGTGCTTATAATCAAGCTTTTGCAAAGTGTACTAATTTGATGAATCAAAAGCAAAGTATCTCCTATGTTATTTCTAGCCAAAGTACTAGTCAACAAAAAAATTATAGGATAAGGTTGACTGTGGTGCTAGACTGTACTAGATTCCTCTTGATACAAGGATTGCCATCTCATGGTCATGACGAATCCAAAGAGTCTCTTAATAAAGAGAATCTAATTGAGCTACTAAATTGGTATGCATCTCGTCGTAAGAAAATTAATGAAATACTATTTAGTAATGCTCCTAAAAATGACCAAATGACTTCACCAAGCATCCGTAAAGATTTGATTAATTATTGTGCTATAGAGACGACAAGGTCTATGATCAATGAGATGGGTAATTCTTTGTTTTCAATTTTGGTTGATGAGTCTCGTGATAATTATATAAAAGAACAAATGGCAGTTGTTTTGAGGTTTGTTGACAAAAGTGGGCAAGTAAAGGAGCATTTGTTGGGCATTTCCCACATCGCTGATACTTGTGCCCAATCACTAAAGGATGTTATTGATGCAATGTTTTCTACACATGGGTTGAGCATATCTAGCCTGAGAGGTCAAGGTTACGATGGAGCAAGCAATATGTCAGGTGAGTTCAATGGCTTAAAAGCTTTAATTTTAAGAGAGAACCCTTGTGCTATGTATGTTCATTGCTTTGCTCACCAGCTTCAGTTGGCAGTTGTTTCTATGGCACACAGGAATGTTATGCTTAGTGATTTATTTAACATGTTTGCTATTATTGTGAATTTGGTCGGTGCATCATGTAAACGTGTAGATGCTCTTCGAATAAGTTATCATTCTAAAATTCTGGAGAGACTCAATATTGAGGAACTTTCTGGTGGAACTAGTTAGCTTCAAGAAATGAGTTTGACACACCCAAGTGATACTAGATGGGGCTCACATCTAAAGACAATTACTCGCTTTATTAGTATGTTTAATGCGATCATAAATGTTCTTGAGAATATATCAGAAGACGACATAAGTTTAGAGCTAAAATCAATGGCCATAAGACAGATGGACACTATGCAAGATTTTCAATTAGTGTTCAGTCTCTATTTTATGTTTGAAATTCTTGCAATTACATACGACCTTTCACTAGCCTTACAGAAAAAGGATCGGGATATTCAGAATGCTACGAGGTTATTGAAGTTGTGTAAGTACGCATTGCAGAACATGAGAGACAATGGTTGTGATACTTTGTTGAGTAAGGTAATTGAATTTTGTGTTGATAGACATATTTCAGTGCCCAATATGGATGATATTGTAGTATTGAAAGGTTGACCTAGGCGTGCAACTCAGCAAGTGACTTATTATCATCGCTTTTATGTTGATTTGTATTGTTATGTGATAGATTCAATCCTACAAGAGTTGAATGATCGTTTTCCAGAAACAACTACTGAGCTTTTTACTTGCATTTTGTGTTTAAGTCCAAG